GTTGCACAGTGTCCCACAGTTTAAGCCCAGACCTAGGTGAGAACTCAGACCTTCTGATTCCTACTTAAGAATCCACAACACAGCCAATTCACTTGTGAGGAAATTACCACCCAGGATGGAGTGCAGGGCCCCCCAGAAAGCAGAATTCATCCTTCTCAGCTACTTAATGGACAAGCTCTGGACCTGGTAAGGGACTTCTTTGGCACGTCAGCTCTACTCTCCAGCATTTCCAGGTCATGGCACTCTTGCAACCAAACTCTCCAACGAGGCCTGCTGGCCACCCTCTCACCTGCCTGCCTGGTCGGTCATTTGGCTACCCCATCCCAGCAGGTGGCACTCAGAAGATTTCCATAACTGGGCACAGCTCCCCCAGTGCAGTCCCTGACATTGACTCTTTTGATCATTATAGAGACTGTGAAGCTAGCTGGTCAGGCATCACAAGCTGAGTTTTAAAGGATGAGGAAGCAGGGCCTCCCCTTCAACCTCAGTGCATGAGGGCATTTGACTCAATGAAACTCCCTCCAGCTCTGATGTCTCCAACACATATGACCCTGGCCCAGGTCCCACTTCAGCTAAGACCTTCTCCTTTGAGCACTGGGGAAGGATTCTGCTGAAGGCCAAGGTGCTTGTGGCCCACAGACAAACATAAAGCACCCAGAATGAACATGCTCCCTGCAAACACATGCACACGCACACACTTGAGTCCACCACAAAACATTCATGTGTCCGCCTCCCAAGGGAGGGGCACCACTCTTGAATCCTCCTTTCCTGCCAAAAACATGATCACATTCTCATCACTTTTTTCCTCCTATTCAAAGATTTGTAAAGGAAGAGGAGGCCTAGGATAGTCAGAACACAAATATAAAACTCTTGGGATGGATGGTCAGGGCCACAAGTTGGGAGTGGTGGAGGAATCCAGGCCCTAATGTTGTCTTTTGCTAAAATAAAATCATCCACTCCAGTGCTTCTCAGGATTGGCAGCACATTAGTATCACTGGAAGAGCTTCTAAAAGTATACTTAAAAAATAGATCTCTTGGTTCATATCAGAATCAAGAGATTCTGACTTGAGTGGCCTGGGGTGTGGACCAGGCAGCACTTTTTTCTTAAAGCTTCTCAGGTGATTCTGATATGAGGTCAGGGATGAGAACCACTGATTTAGTCCACTCCTTTCATTTCAGGCCAAACCCGTCTGGAGAGAGGAAGTATTTCCTATCCAGTTAGAGAGAAGCAGCCCATTCTAGAGTGGGAGTTGGCAGGGGAAATAAGAACACCCAGAGAAGCATCTTTTGCACTCTGTCGGCCTTTCACTGCCTTACCCACACGCACCTGGAATGTGTCCTTGGATGCCCGGTCAAAAACTTTGGAGCGGCTGGAGAGGAAGAGCACTTCTGTCTTGCCTTGCTCACCGTAGATCTGCATGTAGACACGGGCAGTGGTGCCTGCACCGCCCACATCCCCTGTCCAAATCTCAACCTCATAGTGGACCACTGTGTGCACATGCAGGAAAAATGGGACATTTAGTGACAATGACTATAACAATGACAGTAACAAAAGAGACATTTCCTGTGCCTGGCCATTGTGCCTAGTGCTTCACAGGCAGAATTGTATCTAATATCCCCCCCCAATACCCTGCATAAGTACAATCATTCCTATTTTGCAAGTGGACAAACTGAGACTTAGAGGAATTGAGTAGGTGGTGGCAACAGCAAACCCAAGCAATTGGACTCTAATGCCCAGTCATCCACTTTAGCATATTTGCCCTGGCACTCTCTGCTGTGTGGACACCTGATTTGATTTGAATGTTTGTCCCCTCCAAAACTCTGCTACAATTTAATTGCCATTTTGACAGTATTAGGAGGTATGACCTTTAAGAGGTGATTACCCTTCAAGGGCTCCAGTCTCATGGGTGGGATCAGTGTCATTGTGAAAAACGAGTTTTGCTCCCTCCTGTCCTCTCTCATCTCCTTGCCTTCTGCTACATTGTAAAACAGCAGGAATGCCCTCAACAGACACCCACCCCTTGATATTAGACTCCCCAGTCTCCAGAACTGTGAGTCAATACATTTCTGTTCATTATAAATTATCTAGTCTGTGTTATTCTTTTATAATATCACAACATGGAACAAGACACTATCCTTGGGCAGATGCCATGGAGCAGAAAGAAGCAAAGACTGTGTAGTGGTTTCTTTTTCTTACTTTCAATAAAGGTTAAGGGGTTGGAACTATAGTGTTTATTTAAAATATAGGACCTTTCAAGCACTTTTACACTGTTGGTGGGATTGCAAAATAATACCGCCTCTTTGGAAACATGTATGGAGAATCCTCAAAGAACTCAAAATGGACCTTCCATTTGATTGCACAATCTCATTACTAGATATCTACCCATTTTATCATAAAGACATTTACACTAGATTGTTTATTGCAGCTCAATTTACAATTGCCAAGATGTGGAATCAACCCAAGTACCCCTCAACCCAATAATGAATTAATAAACTGTGGTATAAATGAATACTATTTAGCCATAAAAAGAGACATTACATCTTTTATACTAACCTGGATAGAGTTAGAGAACATTCTTTTTAGTAAAGTATCACAAAATGGAAAAGTAAGTATCCAATGTATTCAATATGAATGTGAAGCCAGTAGATGAACTAATATGGACCCACACAAGAGAAAAACTCAATTTAACTCAAGTTGGGGGGAGGAGAAGAGGGAGGGAGATTGGTGTGCTTCTACCTGGGTATAATGTAAGGGTATATGGCACACCTCCTGGCTTTGGGAAGTAACTACAACAGAGACCTTACCTAACAGAGGCAAAGATTATAACCTAATCCTTTGTAGCCTCACATTAATCTGAAATGAAATACACACACACACACACACATATATATAGGCACCGTTCAGATGATACCAACAGATGCATTTCATGGACAGAGTTGTTTATATTCTGAAGTGACACTTTATCAAGATGTTAGAGGGTAAAAATATGCTACAAGTATGCTTCTGGGAAGCAGAAGCCACTTCCCAGTGGGCAGCAAAATGTCTCCTTAAAGAACAACTGGATCATATTCTTCTCATGTGATTATTAAAAGACCTCTGCTCTCAGCGATGCTATAAGACAATATGATTTTTTTT